CCAGCCTGAGGACCATAATTCCCCTGACCATACATCTGAATAGCCAAACTTCAATAGGGCCACTACCTGTATGTAATAAAATTCTTGCTTAGCAGAGATATAATCTCCAAGCAAATCGTGAAATCAAAAACCAGAATGCATCCATCTGAAAAAAGAGGCAGAATGAGAGTGTGTGTTAGTTGTCCATCCAAAGAATACAGAAAGGCAAAATAACAATAAATAAATAATAATAATAATGACGGCTATGATGATGAAAAATCCCATTTTACATTTTACATACAAAACAAAAACAGCAAAAACATAGAATTTAATAGGAAGAAAAGCAAAAAGAAGGAGAAGATAACAACAGGCCTTCAGACCTCCATGTTAAGGAAAAAAAATCTCATAGGTAATCAATGCAGGTACAAACTAAAGCTAGATTAAAAACATGAAATGCTATTGATAATTCAATAAATCAAATTATGATTAGCCGTCATGCCATTTCACCATACTTCTAGCAACTGATCAACCAAAAGGGCCAGAAGTCCAAGCAACCCCAAACATATAAAAGTTTATAATCAAACAAACACCTCAAGAACTTTCAGAGTAGGATCCAAAACCTCTACTAACTAGTCAAGCAGCTATTTTATGCTAAGCTTATGTTCCATTACTTCCTTCTGAAAGAACTGCTAACTCACATTCTCAACAGAAAAATCAATCCTCCAAATTGCAAATAACATAAGTAAACGTTCCAGAGTTACCAAATGCAATGCCACAAAAGCATGTTAACGAGTTCACTAACCTCAAAAAGTTCAAAACTTTAACCAACTAAGCCAAGAAACCGAGAATGTTGACTAAAAACTTAAACATTTAACCTCTGCCGCGTCAAAACTCATCATGAATCGCGCCAATTTCTTTTAAAGTACTCCGTATAAAGTAAAATACTTCGGGTAAATAATAATTTTAACTATGTTTACAGAAATTTCAGCTTCCCCGATGCATCAATCCGAAAATACGCTCACATATTCGTAAATATCCATGAAAAAATTAAAATAATAATAATACAGGGGTGAAGATGAAATGCTTACCGAATAGCGAAAACAGAGCTCTGGCGGACGATGAGAAGAAAAGAAGTGGAAGTTTTAGGAGATCTCAATTGAAAGCCATGAAATTTGAGTTTGCAGAAATCGATAATTTTCTTGTGTAAACGGTTTTCTGAGATTCCAGATATGAAGAGAGAAAGAGAGGAGGAATGGTTAAACCCTAGTATAGATTCTTTCACTTGGAGCTCTGTCTGTAATTTTATTCTGCTTCTGATTTCTAAACTAAAACGTTGAGGAGAGAGAATGGGTGAAGGGGTCACCTTTTTACCGTCGTAACTCCGTCCCTTTTCCAGAATCCTTGTCCCGTTTTACTATGGAATACTGTTTGTTCTCATCAATTGTGTGGTGTGTTCAATCAATTTTTGCAGATTTTTAAACTAATATGGAGTAGATTTTTATGAATTTTTCTAACTCTATCAAATCTTACTCCGTATATCACAAACATTTATAAATTTTTAAAGCAACCTTATAAACTTTCGTTAACTTCTATTAATACTTAGAAAAAATGACACTTTTTCCCCTAAGTTATATATTTATAGCACTTTTTCCCCCTTAATTATTTATGTAAGTACATTAGCCCCCTCAATTATTTTAAAAGTGGTGGTTTTTCTCCCTAATATATTAAATTAACATTTCTACCCTTAAAGTAACATTTTATTTATTTTACTTCTCCAACAAATTATTGTGTATATGTAGCGATTACCACGGTTCGGTTCGAACTGAACCAGACACTATAGCGATCGAATTAAAAGTTTTCGGTTATTATTCAGATCTAGAACCCAATATTTAGATTTCAATTTATTAAATTTAAGAATAAAAAAAACTGGATCATGAACCGTGAACCGACGGTTCCAGATCCGGTTCGCGATTTTGAACCATCTTTATTTTAAAATTGTATTTTTTATTTTAAAATAGTTTAAATTCAACAATAAATGTATTTTATTTTTTCAGTTCGGAACATGAACCGACCATTTCAGTTCGCGATTTTAATAAACTCTAAATATCGCATTTTGATTATAAATTGTAATTGAAATATTTTGGTTTGGTGTTATAGTATCTGTTTGGTTTGAGCCAAATGATAGTAATAATTTGATGGAGAAGAAAAATAAATGAAATATTTATTTTAAATATTTATTTTAAGGGTAAATCTGTCCATTTAACATTTCAGGGAGGAAAAGAGTCATTTAAATAATTTAGGGGGGAAAAATGCTATAAGGGGGTGTTTGGTTGGATGGAAAACATTTTCCATGGAAAATGTTTTCCTAAAAGTGAAGGAAAATGATGTTTTATGTTGCTTGGTTGGATGGAAAACATTTTCCATTGGAAAAAGTTTTCCTTGAGTATGAGGAAAACAAATTCCTAGCTTTTGTTAGGTATTTTGTTTTCCATGGAAAAGATTTTCCATGGAAAATTAATATGCCAATTTTACCCTCACCATTCTTTATTAATTACTCTTATTATTAGTATATTATTATTGTTGTGTAGGGTTATATTTGTCATTATACACATTATTCCTTACCATTCCAAACTCAACCAAACAATGGAATTCATATTCCCAGTAATTTCTTTTCCACCAACCAAACAATGGAATCTATTTTCTTGGAATTTATTTTCCATGGAATTTCAATTCCATTTCCCTTCAAATATTTTCCAGCGAACCAAACGAGCCCTAAGTATATAACTCAGGAGGGAAAAAGTGTCATTTTCCCTAATACTTATTACTCCGTATTTATTTATATATATACTAGACTAGAAAGATAGGCATATAGCACGAGTATTGCACGAGGAAGCCAATACCCAATATAAAAATTAAAATAAGTAAAGGAATGTTTCAAATGCGACCCGGCGAAAGATACGGTGAAATCTAAGTCGTTGATCTAATTAAGGGCTCAAATTAAAAAAATTAAAAATTAAAAATGTGCTTCATGGGAACTAGATGTGGATGATCTCATCCTATCATTGTTGAACTGATGCACCTTAAGGTTCAAACTTATGAACCTAAAGATTCAAATTGACGCACCTTAAGTATTGTATTGATGCACTTTAAGTTTCAATTGACGCACCTTAAGTGTTAAAATGGTGTACCTTAAGGGTCTGTTTGGAAACCCGGAAAATGACTTCTGGAAAATGAGTCATTTTTCAAAAGTCATTTTCCTTTCCTGTGTTGGGCTGCACAATGGAAAACTGTCTTTTGGTGTTTGGTTCATTTTCCAGAAAATGATGGAAAATTGTCTTTTGGTGTTTGGTTCATTTTCCAGAAAATGAACAAAATGACATACTAAAACATTTTAATTATTATATACCGAATATGACAATTTGAAATCATAATTACATGTTAGAAACAACATAAATGCATAAATAATCAAGTCATGAAAATTAAAATTCACAAATTAAGCAAAAGCATTTTATTATATAATCAGTACAAAAAAAAAAAAATAACAGCAACATGATTTGACATAAAAAATTTAAAAAAAAAATTGTATCTGGTTTCAGAACTGGTTTTCCGCATCGCAAACCAGATCTGGTTTTCGGTGCGGAAAACCAATTCACTGGTTTCCGGTCGGAAACCAGTGAAGAAGGTTGAAAAAAAAAATCGAAAAGGGGAAGTCATTTTTTGGGAGAAGAAGGTTTGAGCGTGTGTTGATTGGAAGATGGAAAATGACTTTCGCCAAAAAAAAGGGGAAGTCATTTTCCGAATTTTAGCCTTCATTTTCCATTGACTAATAAGCATTTTCCTTTGACCATTTTATTTTCAGCCTTCCCAAACACCAAAAACCCGGAAAATGATTTCCAAAAGTCATTTTTCGGGTTTCCAAACAGACCCTAAGTGTTAAAATGGCGCACCCTAAGTGTTAAAATGACGCACTTTAATAAGTTTTGAAAATATCCACCTTAAGAGTTAAAATGACACACCTTAAGTGTCAAATGACTCACCTTAAGTTTTGAAGATACGCATCTTAAACTTTACAATCCGAAAGGTCAGTTCTCGTAACCTTCCGAGTACCTATCGAAAGGTATCATTCAGAGTAGTTACCTCTCGAGCTACTCACTTTCGAATCATTCGACACACTCTTCAGGGTTTTGAAAATATACACCTTAAGTGTTAAAATGACGCACCTTAAGTGTAGAACTTATGCACTTTAAGTGTTGAACTTATGCGCCTTAAGTGTTAAAATGACGCACCTTAAGCTTTGTTAGTAGGTTGTTAGAGGAAGTCTCCTAACTACCCATTTGAATTTTGAAATAAGTGGTTAGGAGTTTCCCTTAGCTTGTATATACGCATAGGCTTCCTGTACTCAATCAATTCAGTTCATTATCGCAATACATATATAAACACTTCCTTTTAGAATTCAACATGGTATCAGAGCCATAGATGTGGGTGGTGGGCTTTGGTCGGAACGAGGAGGCGCTGCCGCCGGGAGGATCGGAGCAGTCATCGGAAGGTCCACGCGCCGTTGTGTTCGTCCCGTTCCGTCCTTTATGTCATATACCAATTTATCGGCGTCTTCACGTGCTTTTGTGTCCCAGTTAGAGTCTGTTCCTGTTCCGAAATCTTTGAGTCAGGCAATGTCCCATGATGGTTGGAGGCGTGCGATGGTAGAGGAGGTAGACGCCCTGGAGGAGAACCAGACCTAGGATCTAGTACAACTTCCCCCTGGTAAGGTTGCTATTGGATGTAAATGGGTGTATGTGGTGAAAATGAACCCGGATGGTTCTGTGGCTAGACTCAAAGCGCGCTTAGTGGCAAAGGGGTACGCCCAGACGTATGGTATAGATTATACCGAGACGTTCTCTCCAGTGGCCAAGTTAACTTCTGTGCGGATATTTATCTCTTTGGCAGCTTCGAGTCATTGGCCCTTGCATCAGCTTGATGTGAAGAACGCTTTCCTACATGGCTAATTGCGTGAAGAGGTTTATATGGAGCAACCACCGGAGTTTGTTGCTCAGGGGGAGTCTGGGAAAGTGTGCAAGCTGAAGAGGTCTTTATATGGGCTGAAGCAGTCTCCGTGTGCGTGGTTTGGGCGGTTTAGCAATGCAGTTGTTGAGTTTGGAATGCAGAGAAGTGCATATGATCATACTGTCTTTTACAAACATACTAACTATGGGTGTGTTTTGTTGATAGTATATGTAGATGATATTGTTATTACAGGCAGTGATGCAAGTGGGATTGAGGCACTCAAGTCCTTTCTCGGATCTGAGTTTCATACTAAGGATCTGGGAGTATTGAAGTACTTTCTGGGAATTGAAGTTGCACGCTCTAAGAAAGGCATATTCCTCTCACAGAGGAAATATGTGTTGGACATGCTCGGGGACACGGGGCTGCTTGGGTCAAAACCGTGTGATACGCCCATGGATCAAGGCGTGAAGTTACTGGCAGGAAAAGGGGAGCCGTTTGAAGATCCGGAGAGGTACAGGAGGTTAGTGGGAAAACTAAATTATCTCACAATTACCCGTCCAGATATTGCATTTCCAGTGAGTGTGGTTAGTCAATTCATGAGTGCACCGACGCAGACTCACTGGGAAGCGGCGGTTCGGATTGTGAAATACTTGAAAGGTGCTCCTGGAAAAGGGATCCTTTATGCTGATCACGGGTATATACGTGTTGAGGCGTTCTCCGATGTAGACTGGGCTGGTTCACCGGGTGATAGGAAGTCTATGACAGGCTATTGTGTGTTTGTAGGAGGCAATTTGGTCTCGTGGAAGAGTAAGAAGCAGAATGTGGTGTCACGCTCAAGTGCTGAATCGGAATACCGAGCTATGGCTCATGTGGCGAGCGAAATAGTCTGGGTGCGTAACATTCTAAAAGAAGTGGGTGTTGAAGTGAAGTTACCGATAGATTTGTGGTGTGATAACTGTGCTACCATACACATCGTGAATAATCCAATCTTTCACGAGTGGACGAAGCATATTGAAGTTGACTGCCATTTTATACGGGAAAAAGTGGAGCAAGGACTAATATCACTTACACACGTTCGGAGCGGTGATCAACTGGCTGACATATTCACGAAAGTGTTGTGTAAGAGTCGGGTTTCATATATATATGTAACAAGTTGGGCATGTTTGATATCTATGCTCCAACTTGAGGGGGAGTGTTAGTAGGTTGTTAGAGGAAGTCTCCTAACTACCCATTTGAATTTTGAAATAAGTGGTTAGGAGTTTCCCTTAGCTTGTATATAAGCATAAGCTTCCTGTACTCAATCAATTCAGTTCATTATCGCAATACATATATAAACACTTCCTTTTAGAATTCAACAAGCTTTGAAAACACGCACCTTAAACTTTACAATTACGCACCTTAAGCTTTCAACAGTACGCAAAATTATCATAATGTCACCGCGTTTTTTTTTTTTATTTATCTTCATTCTAGGCTGTTGATTTTAGCAAAATCAAAGACTATGATTAATCTGCATGTTTCACCTGTGAGAGCTTTCGCACCTGATCCTTTGTGTGTGTGTGTGTGTGTGTGTGTGTGTGTGTGTAGACAATTCAGTTCACAGTTTCACCTGTGAGAGCTTTCGCACCTGATCCTTTGTGTGTGTGTGTGTATATATATACAATTCAGTTCACATGCGGTTGAGTGTCTCCCGTGCGGTTGTGTGGTTAACTCTGAGCCATTGATCTTGCTTAAATCAACGTCTAGGATTATCAAAATTTTAAATTTAAAAAAAAAAAAATGTAGTGGCAATTTGGTAATTTTTACATCTAGGTCAAATTTAAGGTGCATGGGTTTTGTGGAAACTTAAGGTGCGCCCGTGCGGTTGTGTGGTTAACTCTGAGCCATTGATCTTGCTTAAATCAACATCCAGGATTATCAAAATTTTAAATTAAAAAAAAGGGCAATTTGGTAATTTTTACATCTAGGTCAAATTTAAGGTGCATGGGTTTTGTGGAAACTTAAGGTGCGTGATTTGTATGCTTAAAGTGCGTCAACCGCACGAGAAGCACAAAGAGCTAATAACACCTCCACTAAGGCTCGAACTCACAACCTCCCCATATGGGAGTCCATCCCAAATGTCATCTGAGCACAAGGTGCTTGGCTTCAATATATATATATATATATATATATATATATATATATATATATATATATATATATATATATATATATATATATATATATATATATATATATATATATATATAGTGAAAGGTTCCCATGCATTTGTTGCTTTCCGTGCGGATGTGCGGTGGATTAATGTGCGTGAGATTTGTACTCAATGTGCGTGAGTGTTGTGTTTAATGTGCCTGAGATATGTACTTAATGTGCGTGAATGTGTAAAATGCAGCAGAAAATATTGATGTCAGCTTCTTCCCCATCCCAGTAGCCATTTGCCCCCTCCCTAATGATGATGATGCGGAGGCGAGCTATGGTGGTTAAAAATTATGGGAATAATACAACAGAAATTCACACTTAGCTGTTGTGCAAATTTTACTGTGCGTGCGTCATTTATATAAACATTCAACTGCACTGAAGGTAGCTGATAATCCAAAATCCATGGCCAAATTGAAGGAATAAGTAACAAGAAGCTTGGGTGTTAATGTGCGTGAGTTTCTATTCTGCTTGCTTCTGAGCTCGTAATTCTGAAATACGCACGCACATTAAGCACAAATCTCACGCACATTAAACACAATACTCAGGTACATTAAGTACAAAACGCACGCATATTAACATGACGCACATTAAGTACAAATCTCAGGCACATTGAGTACAAATCTCACGCACATTAAGTATAAACCTCATGCACATTAATCCACCGCACATCCGCACGGGAAGCAACAAATGCACCTGATCCCTTCTATATATATATATATATATATATATATATATATATATATATATATATATATATATTGAGTGGCAACCTATTTCATATCTTTTTTTCATATCAGTTAATGATCTAATATACTTTTTTGTGATGTCTTTTTCTAAATGGAAAAATGAAAATGCAATTAGTAATATGGTAGTACCATTATTTTTATAAAGAAAATGAAAACAATGTATGTGTAAATACCCCCAACACTTAGCAATTTAAGGAAGGGGCCTTCATGACGAGCATCGGAGTGACTGGGCTTTGTAGTCGGTGTGTCGTTGATCGGGTCGCTAGTTAGAAGTATGGGCGACCGGACTCTATAGTCTGTGTGTCCCCGACCGGGTCCCTAGTTGGCATGGATGGGTGACCGGGCGCTGTAGCCAGGGTATCCTCGATCGGGTCCTTAATTGGCTTAGACGGACGACCAGGCTGGGCAGTCGATGCGTCCCCAACCGAGTGCACGTTCCAGGGGCGATTAAGGGCGGATTTTGTGGAGATTCTTTCCTTGCTTGACAAGCAGTTTCCTTCTTTCATATTAGGCAGTTACTACGCCAGTTTTGGTAGATTCCAAAGCATAATTTAGTTATTCTCCTTTTTCTTGCCTTTTACAGGGCGTTTAGTTGGAAGGTGGGAATTACGTGGGAAAGGAATTGCAATTCCATGGGAGATGAATTACTGGGAATAAAGTGGGAATTTAAATTCCAGTGTTTGGTTTACGGTAATAGAATTACTGGGAATTTTAATTCCAATGTTTGGTATACATGGGAATTGAAAGGGAATAAGTAGTATAAAGTCCAAACTACCAATTATTGTTGTGGTATTAATTTTAGGTTTAAAAAAAAAATGGATAATTTTGTCTCATCACTAGCTTTTTTTCTTCCTAAAATCCCAGGAATTAAAATACCAGGGGGGAGGGGGGGCATGGGATTTTAATTCCATGAAAATGGGAAAATTGCAATTCCTTCCAACCAAACTAAGGAATTTTATGACCTTTGGAATTAAGTGGGAAGGGAATTTAAAATCCCTTCAACCAAACGCCCTATTAGAGGATCTAACTCCTTGTATAAATACCTCCCCACCCCCCCCCCCCCACCTCCCGGGTCACCTTGTAACGGATCCGCTTTTAAAGTAACCGAATGTTACTCTGCTCTAATTTCTTCTCGCTAGTTTTATTCTTTTAACCTAGTATTTTACAGCAGTGTTGGCCCGCCGACCGGCAACCCTAAGCCATAAAAGTAACAGTATACATTGAAAGTGCTTATTATTAGGACTTTGTATTCTATGCACACTAGAATTCCTTCTCTCTTTCTCCTTGTATTATTGAGAATATTATCATTTACCATTTCTATCTTGACAGTGACTCTTTGTATACATATAAATACATATCTTCATGTACTTCAAGCATAATGGATTGACCAATAATAACATTATTGTCAAAATTATTGTTCTCACATGGTATAAGTAGACCAAATGATCCATGGCTAAAAAAAATAAAAATAAATAAAATAAATAAAATAAAAACATCGTTGCCGCCGCCCGACGACACCACCACCTCATATTCTCGCAGCATCTCTGATATTACTTATCCAACCACAACCCCGATAAAATACCCTACAAACAACCCATCACTTTATCTCCATTAAACATACTTCCTCAGACTATCTATTTTGGAAGACTCAACTTGTTCCCTTTTTCCGCGGTCAAAATATCAGTGGATACATTGATTGAACGTTATCGTGTCTGGCATCATTTATTAAAGCTCCAGATGAGTGCTCTGTTATAGACATGCTCCAGATGAGTGTTCCATTGTAGCTATGCTCCGGATAAGTGTTCCGTTGTAGTCACGCTCTAGATGAGTGTTCCGTTGTAGCCATGCTTTGGATAAGTGTTTCATTGTAGCCGATCCTTCGATCGAAAATTTGGTTCATTGGGATTCTTTTATTTTGTCCATGCTCATCTTGTCTCTGTCCGATAAAGTTTTGTATGTCACAGTGGGACATGACATGTCTTAGGCGATATGAAACTATTGAAGTCGGGTGCATTTGGGCCGGGTCTTCTTCTCCAGCATGATATTTAAGTCTCCATAGTCAGCTGCAGTCTTTGCGCGAGTGGGATTCTACTATTAGTGAGTATCTTGGCAAAGCTAAGGTTTTAATTGGACTGCGCCCTAAGTATCGCGCGATGATATCCTCATTGACTACTAAAGAACATGTGACAATTGACCAACTGGTAGACATCTTCACCAAACTACTAACCACATCAATATTAATTGATATATGGGACAAGCTCAATATTCTCTCTAAAGAACCTTAAGCTTGAGGGGACATATTAGGACTCTATATTCTAGACACACTAGAAATCATTCTCCATCTCCCTATATTATTGAGAATATTATCATTTATCATTCCTATCCTGATTGAGACTTTGATCTTTATAAATACATATCTTCATGTACTTCAAACATCCTGGATTGATCAATAATAAGATTATTCCCATAACTATTGTTCTCATCCTTATAAATTGAAGACACACTCCAACCTAATGACATGAAAACAACAAAGAACTTAAAATCATTATATTTATTTTGATCAGTAATATTTACTGAACTGGGAAAACAAAACAATTTTGAAGTTTTAGTTATACTCTAATGACAAAAAATGGGTCTACCAACCGTTAATTAATACAAAATGATGTAAATGAGAAAATGACTAAGATGTCCTTCAATAATTGAAATTCAGAAATTGTAAAATTCATTGTTAATATTAATAGAATTTGTTAGTTGTGAATTAAAATTGTTACTGTACACGTGATTAAATGGACAAATTTATATATAGTAATAATTCATTGACTAACTATATAATATGAGTATAATTAATGGACTAAAATCACCAATAATAATAATAATAATAATAATAATAATAATAATAATAATAATAATAATAATAATAATAATAATAATAATAATTATTATTATTATTATTATTATTATTATTATTATTATTATTATTATTATTATTATTATGTTAGAAACTATATTGTAATACACCATAATGAGTACTCCATTCACAATCAACTACTTCATAGACTCATATTTAACTCGAATGTGCCTCTTTCATTGACTCATATTTAACTCGAATGTGCCTCTTTTTCTCATTATACATTGTTTGACCAACGCATATGACAATTTTTAAATCATAGTGTAAAGAAATGGGCGGTGCAAGCTTGCCACCACAAAGGAATATTAGCTAGTAAGCTTCTTAATCACTTGGCCTCTTGCCCGGCCAAGTTCAATGCAATTAACTTTGACTCCATCATGTACCAAGCAATACAAGTCTGCTTAGCATACTTCCTTGATATAGCAATTCTGCAGTAGTGTTGAGCTTAACTGATCATTATCAATTACCCAGTTGGCATTATCGAATCTCTGTAATGTTACTAGATAGCCAACATAATGAAGTCCGCAATATACCTACCTTTAAGGTACCTCAACAATTCTTTTATGGCTCGTTTGGTTCACGGAATCAATTTGAATGGAATAGGAATGTTGTTCTATAGGGAATGGAATAGGTAAGTAATAGAATAGGAATTGTATTCTATTGTTTAGTTCGCTGGAGGAATAGACTTTAGGAATTGTATTCCAACGCTTGGTTGGTTAAGGAATAGAAATGGAATATATATGTAAAAGACATAAATGCTCATGTACAAAATATATTATTATTATTATTATTATTGTTATTGTTGTTGTTGTTGTTGTTATTGTTATTGTTGTTGTTGTTGTTATTATTATTATTATTATTATTATTATTATTACTACTACTCCAGTAAAACACGGTATGATTATTAGCTACATAAACAAAAACTTTAAGCACCATATTCGTGGAATTCTATACGAAAAAACATACTAACCATTTCTAAGTAAGATGGCTTAGGAGCATGATCCTTCATGTCTATATAACCGCAAAAACTATCTACTTAGGCCGAGTTTCTGCAACTTCTTCAGCTGTTACTTTACCAATCAATTGATTCTTCCACTTGTATGCAGATATCAACTGAAGTTTGGGTTGATTCTGAAGAGACATTATTTAATGTTTCTATGAGTGCAACAACATATGCAACATCCAATTAATATGTACTATATACAGACTAGTTTATCAGGAACATATATATATATATATATATATATATATATATATATATATATATATATATATATATATATACCTGAATCATATAACTACTTGAATCAGCAACCAATGGGGATATATAATAATAATAATAATAATAATAATAATAATAATAATAATAATAATAATAATAATAATAATAATAATAATTATTATTATTATTATTATTATTATTATTATTATTAATTATTATTACTAGTAATTCACTCGCGCGATGCACGGAAAAAAATTATGTTATTATAAATATAAATAAAAAATTAAAAAATTAAAATATTTTAAAGTATTTAATATAATAATATTTTTGAACTTCCATTGGTCAAGTATTTATTATTTTTATAGAATACAAAATTACAATTAAAATTAAAATTAATATTAAAATTATAATTTTGTATGGTTAATATAATCTCTAATTATGTGCATATTCAAATAAACTTATAGAGAAAATTTACATAATTACATTGATTTATTCTTAATTGTATTTCATCTATATTATAATTTTTACAATACGAATAATAACTAAGATAATCACATTTGGAAAGCAAATTTCAAATTTTGTATGTGTAAATTTAAACTCTAATTGAACGTATTTTTTTTATGATTATATAATATATAGCTATTTTATTTTTTCAAAAGTATATTTTTTTATATAATTATATAATATATAGTTATTTTATTTTTTAAATGTTGTGTTTTTTTTTTAATAAAGGATGTTGTGGCATTAATTGTAACATTAATTATTTCCCAAACCATATAGCTTTATTATATAAAGGATTATTATTATTATTATTATTATTATTATTATTATTATTATTATTATTATTATTATTATTATTCCACATTATAATAAAAATACATATTTATATTTATACTTATATTTGGTTTTCACTTATCCCACGTCGGTGGGAGAAGTGGGGAATTGAGCCTTGAGACTCCTATAAAAAGGGTTTCAAGGCTCCATAATTTCAATTGCAATGCTCATTTGCTCGGCAAGCGGATAGCCATGCTACTTAATTTAGGAGTCAAGGCTCCATAATTAGGAGCCTTATACAGTTATTTTTTTATATATAAATATAAATGTCAAAGGTATTTTGGAGAAAGACTTTTCTTTCCCCAAAATGCCAATTGCAAATGCTGTAAAATGTGTATGTGTGTGAGTGTGTATAATTTAATAATTTTTTTTTTTGAAAATTATATGGTACTTCATTAGAAATAAGCCGAAACAATGTCAGGTGGGTGAACATCCCAATACATAGCAGCAGCCTGCTGGTATGCCGAAGTAGCTAAAGCATGAGCTAAATAATTGTCTAGTCTAGTAATATAATTAATTGAACAGGACTGAAATAAAGACACAGCTGCTCTGCAACTGTCAATGGCATAGCCGACGTAAGAGCGAAACGCAGCAAGTGGCGTAGTAAGATATCGTTGTAGTGTCAAACAATCCGTGTATATGTCGATGTGTTGTTCCCCCCGATCCTTTAACCATGAATCCATGATAAGGTTTCCTTGCATGCCAGCGCATCGGCCATTAGTGGTGAGGAGAAATCCGGGAGAGGCGCAGTGAGAGCCGAGACGTATTCCCCATTCACGTCTAAGAGAATAGCCCCAACCGTGGCCTTGCCCGTGCCATGTAAGTATCCTGCGTCGACTCGGCATATCCTCCGGGGCGGTGCGGACCGTGTAGCATGAAGGCCGGGCTGTAATGCCGTGGGCGGCACCGCATGGCTTCGAGAGGCAGTGGGTTGGCGTGCTTGTATCCATGCATGCATGGTAGCCGTTGCCGCCGTGAGCAAGAATGATGGGCGTGGTAGGCATGCATTCCAAACGGCCTCGTTCCGTGCTCTCCAAATATTGTATAGAATTGATGCTGCATACAAAACCCCATCAGAGTCTAAAACATTTAAGAGCTCACCAAACCAAACATGAAAAATATTTGTCACAATATTTGAGATTGGAAGGTTGGATCGTTCCCATATGTTCCTTGCAAATTCGCACAACACTAAGGCATGCATAGTATCCTCTTGAGATATTCCACACATGGCACAATGTGGATCCACATCTACCCTCTTTATAAGCAAGTTAGTAGTAGTTGGCAAAATATCACAAATGGCTCTCCAAAGAAACATTTCCATTTTGGGGGGATTTTGAGTTTCCATAGGGTCAACCATTTCGTAAAGGTCCCAGTACCACTCTCGTAATTTCCAATTAACAATCTGTATCCGCACTTTACTGAATAAATTCCTTTCGGGTCTCCATGCCAATACCACGTATCATCATATTCCGGGAAGACAGGTATTTTTAGAATATTTGCCACATCACTAGCTTGGAATAAATCAATTAGAATTGAGTGATCCCATGCACCTGTCTGTTGATCTATCAATCCCACCACTCTAGCACCCTCCAACTGTATTGGCATCTCAGTTTGTATCATGGGGTCGTGATCATCCTGTAACCAGGGATGAGTCCATATGAGTGTAGACTCCCCGTTTCCAATTCTGCGTCTTACCCCACTACAAATTATACTCTTGGCTGCCATAATGCTCCGTCAACAGAAACTGGGGTTGCTCCCTATCTGTGCATAAAAAAATGAACCCTTGGCATAATAGCGAGCCTTATATACACGAGTCATCAGGGACTCAGGCTTAGTAAGCATCTGCCATGCCTGTTTCCCCAACATTGCTAGGTTAAAGGCACGTAAATCCTTAAAACCCAACCCTCCATACTTCTTAGGGACACATAATTTATCCCAAGCCTCCCAATGTATTCGCCTATCAGTTCCAGAGTCCCAACAGTAGCGATTCATAGTCCTTTCAATTGCTGTGCACACAAATATTGGCAGTAGAAAGACATTCATTGAGAAGGTAGGCATAGATTATGCTACACTTTTCAATAAAATCTCTTTTCCTGCCTGCGATAGTAATCTTGTTCCACAACCCAATTCCTTGCTGTATTTTATCCTCAATATATGAGAAAGCTGCTTTTTTGTTTTTTCCAACAAAAGAGGGAAGACCCAAATACTTGCCAAAATTAGGAGCCTGCTCTACTCCCAATACTTGGGCCACAACTTCCCTATCTGTGTTATTCGTATTTCTGCTATAACATATACTTGACTTGTGATAATTAACCACCTGCCCAGATAAATCCTCATAAACTGATAGGCATCGTTTTATCTCATTAGCCTCCTCCACATTAGCCTTAAAAAATAAAAGACTATCATCAGCAAAAAACAAATGAGAGATTGGGGAGCACCTCTTGCAACTCTGCAGCCATGAATCAACCCTGAATTATGAGCCTGCTGCAACAGCAGGGAAAACCCCTCTGCACAAATAATAAATAGATATGGGCACAATGGGTCTCCTTGTCTTAAACCCCGCGAGGGTACAATGGTGTCACTTCGGGAGCCATTTATCAATATGTTATACGAGACTGTAGTTACACATTTCATTATTAACTCCACCCATCTTTCATCAAAACCTAACATCATGCTTCTAAGAAAAGACCATTCCATCCGGTCATAGGCCTTTGCCATGTCTAGCTTAAGAACACTCCACCCCACCGCACCACACTGTTTCCTGTTTAAAAAATGCCCCACCTCCGCCGCTAATAAGATATTATCTGTGATTAGTCTATCAGGGATAAAGGCACTCTGAGACTCCGATATAATCATTTCCATCAACGGCTTCATTCTATTAGTTATTACTTTTGCCATAATCCTATAAACCACATTACTGAGAGCTATAGGTCGCAGATCAGTGACCAATTCATGGGTATTCTTCTTTGGGATCAAAACAACATATGTACTATTCAATTCATGCGGTAAATTTTGAGAGTTAAGGCAGCCTATCACAAAACTTGATACATCACCCCCTACCACATCTCAAAAATGCTGATAGAAGCCCGGATTCATTCCATCCAGCCCTAGAGCCTTGTCTGGAAACATTGCAAACAAGGCAGTTTTAACCTCCTCTAATTCAAATGGCCTTAGCAATGTCTCATTTTGCGCCTGAGTTACCCGCGGGGTAATCCCTTCAAAGAAACCCTCTCTAGATCCCGGGTTTCCAGAGCAGAAAATATGATTGAAGTATTCAAAAATAGTATTTTTCATAGGCTCCCCTTCCACCTAATCCCCATTATCATTCATTAGTCTAGATATAGTATTCTTCTTTTTACGATGAGAAGCATACCTGTGAAAGAACTTCGTGTTGGCATCGGCCTCCTTGAGCCAGTGTTGCTTAGTTCTCTGCCTCCAGTAGGCATCCTCCTGAGCTTCAGTGCAACTTAAAAGCTGCTCTAAGCGCTGAAACTCTGCAAGCGAGGCCGGATCAGTACACCCCCTCAACCGTTGCTGCTCCTTTTTTAGGTCATTAATCTGCTTGCCATACTTGTGGTACCGGTCTCCACCCCATCGTGTTAACCGATTCTCGTAGTATTCAATACATCCTTGTAAACCCTGCCCCCGTCCTTCTTGCCATGACTGCTCGACCACATCCCTACACCCCTTATCATACAACCATGCCATCTCAAACCGAAATCCCCTCTTACCAGGTTCATTCCTCCCTAAGGACTCATGAATTCCCAGAAAGAGAGCCAAATGATCAGATTTTCGGGTTCTCAAATTTGATACCCTGGCCCTCGCGACCATGTTGCGCCATTCCTCTGTTACTAGGACCTTGTCGAGTCTCTCTTCAAGCCAATTAATTGTCCCCTTCCCCTTTTCCCAAGTATACGGATATCCATCCATAGGCATCTGGGCAAGCCCACAGTCCTCAATAGCAACCCCAAAACCGCATAGGAGGCTATTCGAATGCGGATTCCCCCCCCCCCCCCCCCCCCCCCCCCCCCTCTCTTCTCATACTGATATAGCAAATCATTGAAATCCCCCACAATAATCCACGGAAGATTTGATTTGACAGACAACGTTCTCAAGAGATCCCATGACTCAGTG